TCAAACATAAAGAAAAATTATGCAAAATCGAGTGTATCTTGTGTGAAACCGCTGACGCTGTATAAATTCGTAAAAAAAATAAATTCGGAAAGGGAAATAATAGGGGTATTCCCAAATTGAGCAAGTGACCTGACACTCGGGCAGAAGAGCTGATTAGCTGAATCAACAACTTAAACACTTTCGTTGCTTTAAGCTAATCAGATCTTTTGTTCGAGTGCCAGGTCTTTAGCTCAATTTGGTGAGTACCCCTAATGATTCTTTCTTTACGTTTTCTTTAAGATCCTTCTATTTCAAATTACGCTGAAAGCATGGTTGTGAATCCCTGTGAAGCTATTAGTTGCTTTTTCAAATATTTGTTTCTGTTGAAAAGACGAGGCAATGCGATTCGCCTAAAAGTATGCCATCGTTAATTACTATTGTTTTTTTTGCAATAACAAATGAGCGCGCTGCGCTCTTGATGCATCGTCACATACTTACATACATATAAACATACATATTCAATATGGATACAGGGGTTTACAATTGAAGCGCAGAAATTTAGTATCGTTTTTAAGGGGAAGTGAATTACATATGTACATACACATATGGTTGCTATCAATGCGAATACCTTAATAAACAATTTCTATATCACCCAATAAAAATTCAAACCAAATCCTAAGAAAATACGATATTTATTGATATCATTTGAGCAGCCCTGCGGGGAGATTCTGTAACCTGTTGGCGACAATTTTCGGAACGCTATCGCTTTTGTTGACACATTTTATGAATATTGTTGCATCAGTAAGTGCGAGAGTGATCCAAAAAATTGTCGCTAACAGGTTACAGGATCTCCCCTAAGCGCACTTCCTTTGCTAATTTTAAAAGTTTTTCCAATATTTCCAATATTTATAAAGCAAAACACAAACAATTTTTCCCAATTTGTTTTTATTTTACGCGTTAAATTATGGGAAAAATTTATTCACATGGAATTGACGACAGGGCTGAATATTTTGTACCAGCATAACAAGTGGCCGGCAGAACTACAATAAAGACATTAGTGTTAGCAGCGAAATTCGAAATTATTGGACATAGCAGGTTTACTCATAAAATATTTTCCGACACTTATAGCCTTGAATTGCAGTAACTACTTTGCTTGGACGATGCGGTGTCTCCTTCTCTTTCGAACGATATTAATACGACATTCTATAAGACATAAAACGGATTTAGCATGTTTACACTCCAAGCCTCCATAACCTCTTTACATCAGGTATGGTAAGACTGGAAGGGCTATAAATATAAACACGATACCAACTGAAAATAAGATTAATCAGACAGCAGCTGGCAGCGATTGAAGTCGGCAACACCATTTTAACGACTTGGAAGAGGAAACCATAGGGCCGACTTGTTTGTTGGACGCAAGTACGATGAGAATAAAAGTTAGCGTCAGCGTTGGACTACCTCAGGTAGATTCACAGAACTGACAAGAGCAAGGTGCTCCAAATACCCATGATAATTGACCCCCACTCGAAGTTCAACTCATTGGACCCTAAAACTTTCGAACAATATTCATGCATTGCTATAGGGGTTGCTTATCAGGGCTACCTACGAATTCGAATGCATGATACATACATACATATGTTTGTATATCCTTTTGCTCGCGCTGTCCCAACAGTCGAAAAGGCCGAGTGAGCAAAGCACTAGAGTGTCATTCGAGAGATCCGAGTTCGAGTCCTCGGACTGAGGGATTTTTTTCTTTTTTTAATTCTTTTTACTTAAAATTTTATAATTCTAAAAAGAGAAATATTTTTTTTTAATTTTATTTAATTTTTATGATATTGGAGTATGTATTTTGGTTTATTTCCTATTAATTTGTTGTTAAAATAATATTCCCTCGCTTCACAAAAAAAAAATTCACCCGAAAATTTGTCATCCGCCCATAGTAAAACCATGGAAACCAAAACTGAAAAGTGAACCGGTTCGGTGAAAATGAAACTCATGATAAGACTGATTTATTTCTTGAATTGCGGCCAGCAGATCGATGTATGTACATTTATTTATACATAAAACATCTTATATTTTGTTCCGACAGTATAAACTCGTCGTAGAGTATCTGTGCGAATCTTCATTACGAACCGAAGGCTCTCTACGAATTTCGAATTTACGTTCGTATCTATTCGGATGCAGTGATAGCACTTTCGTAGATTTCACGAAAATCGAACCTACGTTGGATTCAGTTATATCCGTTTATTACCAGAGAAACTCCGTTTAGTGTTTTTCCATGATGTAGGAGATATCAACAGTTAGCTGCAATGAGTTTCTTAGATTTGACTCTGTTTGCTATATAATTGAATATTTTTTATCATAAAGTTTAATGTTTTTGTCGATAGGATATTGGAGCTTCAATTTCTGCAGCCTTTCAGTAGATTTCCAATTGTAACACTATCAAAATATTCAAGAAAAACTTCAGAAATCCCTAGACTGTCGCAAACTGATACAACATTTTTTAATTTTTAAATGAAACCAATTAGCTTACTTTTTTCTTCAAACTAAATATACCATTTCACTAATTTTTATTTTCAATTACATAAAGTTTATTAAGCATATAAGTATATATACTTTACTAACGAAAATTTAACATAAATTGCAAATTAAATGAACTAAATTGCAGTATAAAGCGAATAATTTGCAATAGAAAGGCGACAAAGGTAATAAACATACACACAAAAAAACATAGAACGGAACAAAAAGACACAGAACAATTGTCCAAAATTACTTCACTAATAATAATAATAATAATAATAATAAGCTCTTTAACACATTGAGTTTGAAAATCTTGTTGCTGTTGCTAGCAAACCATATTTATAATGTTAGAAATAATAGATAAGATTAACAATAAAAGTAGTAGTGCCTAGGGAACATTTAAAACTACAAGTGTTTTTTATATAAATTTATGTTTGTAATTGGTAGGAATAACTGGTCTTCGAAAAATAAGCCAACTTTACTACATAGTATAAACATAACTCTTTTAAAGCGCAACACATTTGTGTATGTATACATGTATAAATTAATATGCAAAATATAGCTAAGCATTATTATATTTTAAATGTAAGTAGAATAAGTGGGTTAACAACATTTTGTTTGCATATTTTCATTATTTTTGCTTTTCTTTTATATGGTAAAATTCATTATGAATTAGTAGTTGTACACACTAAACTTTTAACTAACGAACAAAAATTACAATAGCTGATTTACCAAAATTTTTGAAAAACATTTCACAAGTATGTAAATAATGGAAAAGTAAATAACATTTAATTGCTTTTGCTAATAAAAAGGAAAACATAAATGGATTATAAACACACAATTGTACACAGATACAGTCCCCATTCCAGAATTGTTATTATTAAATTCAAATTACTTTTTAGTTATTAGTGTACTTAAGTATGCGTAATAAGGTTATAAGCAAATTCAACACAAACGCTCCGAAAATTCTGGGCCTCATTAAAGCTCGAGTGAATAAAGAAATGCGCCGCTAGCGCAAAATAAAACAACGCTAACAAAAATTGACAAAATGTATGTATGTTGCATATCCAAAAAGTGGTTGATTTGTAGAAAATGCTTTCATTTCTTCCATTTTTCATTTATTGTTATAGCGTTTAAAGGCTTTAATTGCGTATCGAATCGAATGGCGCGTTTTTCTACCGAAAAACGTTTGCTCCTCATTGCCGTCTTCGCACAAATACCAAAAGGGCAATGAAAAGGCAAAATTTTTTCAAGAAAAAAAAGCACCACACATTTTGGAAAAGCAACACTTTGGAGTTTATGGTCGCGTGCAAAGGCTTGGTATAGTTTTTCTTTACCTTTGTTTTTCAGACGCCGGAGATTTTTTGTTTGTTTTGTCAAGCCGGTAAGTAAAATGTTTGCAGTTATATTTACAAAAATTAATTATTTCTAATAAAAGCGCAGAACGCTTATTTTTACCAGAATTACTACAAATTTTTGTTAGACTCAATGCGACTTAGTGACAGAGAAAAACTTTTCTTTTCGTTACTAGCCAAAGAGAAAATTTTTCTTTTAGTGTTTATGTAAAAGTCAAGATGAAATTAATGCATCATAGTTAGAAAAAGATAAATTTTATAAAGATGAAACACGCGTGCGCTGCGATACAGTCAAAAAGGAAATATACAAATATTTTTCTTGACTGTGCACATAAAATTACATATAAAAAACTTGTGTTGCATTTCTTTAGCATTGGTTAATGTTGCGCGCCCTTTTTAGCTATGCCATTTTGCAGTAGTCATAAATTTGGTACGACAGTTACAAGTTACATGTTAATGCAAACTATCTAAATTTATCAGCGATCATGTGTTCCGAGTTTTTTTCTTCAAATATATTTCTTTAATTCTATTAAGTGATGTGCAGACAATTTTTTTTAAATAATTTTGCAATTAACTAAACAATTGTACTAATTCTTAAGTTTGTTTGTCGAATTTCGCAAATTATGTATTTTTTCAAATTTTGTCTACATTTCCAATTTTCACTACTTATAAAGTAAAAAATACAATACAAAATTAACATTTTGTATAATTTAAGAAGAATTCAATATTTTCATAAGTTTTATTAAATTTTAATTTTTTTTGAACGTGATTTTCAACGAATGCTCTCATTTGCACACATGATCTAATTATAAATTACGTTGTTGGGGTTTTCATTTAAAATTTCATTTAATGTGTTTTTTTCAATATTTTTGTGTAATTGTTGTTACTACGCACATACATAAAAATTAAGTTTAGTGTTTCTTTAGCAGCAATACACGCTGCCATCATTCATACATCAATCATCTAAAACAATTTATTTGCTAATTTGTTGTTTGTATGCATTAAATTGTTCCTTTTGTTGCGAGATTTTTTACACAAAAGCGACGAGGATTGTGTTGCATAAATTTTGCCTAGACAATAAACTAATAAATGCTACAAGTTAGGACAAAGTTGGCCGAATAGGGTGTAGATATAAGTGTGTGTGTGTGTGTTCGTGATTGTGTGTGGTATGATTTTCCATTTCTGCGCCGCATGCTGACGTAGCACGCAGATCACTGCCTGCTGCTCCTTTAGTCCATAGCCGTGATATGCACCCTCCACTTATTTAAGCTGCTGTATCCACTTCCTCCACAATATGATTGGGCGACACTTCGCTGGGCGTGGTTGTGTTATTACTGTTGTTGGCCGCTGCCAACTGCTGTGTGCTTGTTGTACTCAATGTGGAAGGTTTATTTGTAGGCATTGCAGTCGCCGCTCCATTGCTATTCGAGATGCTGTTTGCACATACAGCGATAGCGGTGGTTGCCGCTGCCGCTGTTGCCGCTTTGGTGGGAGAACTGACGGTGGCCGCCCGCGCGCCATATGGTGCGCCCTTCAATTTGCGCGCCTCACGACGTTGCTTGCTCTGTAGCATCACTTGCCGCAGCTGGTCGATCTTCGATTTCATTTTCGAATTCTCCATGTCGGTTACACATTTTTGGCACATTTGTTCACGTTCGCGTTCGCCGGTCTCACTATTGCTGCGATACCGACAGCTGCATATAGTGCGTTCATCGGCCGGAGAAGTGGCGCTGGAGGTGTTGGTGGTGGCGCCTGCAGCATCTTTACGAGTGGATGAGGTTTTCGTGCTGCTGGCATAGTGGCCGTTGCATTCGCCATAAACGCAAGCGTTGCTGCTGCCGTGCTGCTGTTGTGATTTCAGGTATTTTACACAAGACTGCGAATGCTGGTGATGGCCGTGCTTCATGGAGAGCTGCAAAAACAAAGAGAGAAAGTAAGTACATATTTATGTTTCAAATATATTAAGCTATTTACTCACCTGCTTGCTACGTATACCATGCACTACCGTGCCGTTGGTGCTGGAACTACCACCTGCCGCTGAAGAAGAGGAAGGCGCCTCGAAGCTAATGCGCGCGCCGCGACTATATTGCGGCGTGGCGCTCAACAAGTCATTCAGTATGTGTATAACGGTGGAGATGTCGCGCTTGGGGCGCCCATAACGATCTTGCAGCGCTGGGTTGAGCGTGCCTGAGAAGGTACCCGAGTAGATGCCTTTGCCGTGATTCTTCATTGATTCGATAACAGCGCCCGAATTGCTTTTGCGTGGTGTTTCCTCGCCGCCAGATAAATCAATTTTATTGGTAAACACTTCTTTCGAGAGTTTGCGTAACGTCTGCGTCAAATTGCGCGATGCCTCGGCTAGGTTTCGTGAATCTGAGACAGTAACACCGGAATCATCCAATTCGCTGTTGGTCGTCGGTGTTGCTGGTGTAGCTGGTGCTGCGGTTGCAGCGGGTGGCAATGATGTATTAGTGTTGATGCTGCCAGTGGATGCATTGGTCATGCTGGTGTCGGCATCAGCGCCAACTCCGCTGTCATCCAAGCCTTGTGTGGTTAATGGTATAGGACGTGGTAAGGCGCTAGTGCAGGCCTTTGGTCGCAATATAGGCGAAAGCGTTTTAGTTTGCAGCTGCTGCTGATGGTAGTGGTGATGATGGTGATGGTGGTGGTGATGGTGATGACTGCGATGCTTGGGGCGTGTGATTGGATTGTTAGCAGTTTTGTGCAACGAGTTTGCCACAGGCGTGCTGCTACCGCCACTACCGGAAATAAGCTTTTGTAATGTACTGGTCACTAGATGTGGCTCAACGACTCCACCATGTTCTGCAATCATTGCCTCTGTATGTGTAGGTGTAACACTACCAACATCTGCGCTACAGGACGAGCTGGTATCCATGCAAGTGTCCTTGTCGGCCGATGCACCGCCGTTGAGGCGTGTACACAGACACGAGGTGAGCTTAGCGGCAATAGGGTCCTGGCATATAGCTTCGACAGCAACGCTGTTGGTGGTGGTGCTGCTGTGAGAATTTTCACCACCGCAACCACTTTTAGAGATAGGAATGCTCTTTATGGCAGCCGTTTTGATGGGACTGGAGACGAGGTTCGAAAGCGATTTGATGGGCGACTGTTCCAGTAGTGCAGTACCAGCATTAGCGCCTTCTGGCGCCGCTTTAGAAGCACGCGAGTTGTGGAAGCCTGCCGGGCCAGCTGAGGCAGCCGTGTTGGCTGTGGTGGACGTGACAATGTTGTTGCTCACAATGTTAGGAGCGCATTGGCGCAACTGCTGAACCATCGTGTGACCTGTAGGAGGTGAAGTCAACCGCGCTGGCTGCGACATGGCAATACTCTTAACAATATTCTGCAGATTTTCATAGTCGCGCTTGCTCAAGAATGCGCTCAGGTCTGAACTCTTAAAAGCGCCGTTGCTGCTAGTTGCCGTTTTTGAAGCTGCATGCGAGGTCATAGTGGTAGCGTTGACTGTGTTGCTCATCAGCGATTGCGATGTTGGGCCCACTGGTATGCGTGCGCTGGCGGTAACGTTTCCGCTGTTGCTGCGCTGTTGTCCTGTACAGCCATTCACTACTGCAGCGGCATTGGTTGCTGTTGTTGAGGAGTGACCAGCAGCTGTTGCCGGCTGATGATGGTGGTGGTGATGATGGTGATGGTGGTGATTATGGTTATGACTGTGGCCCGTAGTTACGGCCGAGCGATTGTTACGTTGACTGGAACGTGCACGCAATGTTGAGGAGCTGCTACCAGAGCAGCTGTTACCGGCACTACCACCGCTTGCCGAACTGCCACCATTTGCTGGATTCACTGTGCTTAGTTGCAATTGGATTAGCATCATATGGTCACCGAGTCGCATGCTTAGATTCAAAGGAGTTTTGCCACTCAGAAAGTCATTCACTTGAGAATCATTGAGTGATTCCAGAGCCTGCATCACGGTATTTTCCGGACGCTGAGCCTGTAAGAGAAGAGAGAAAACGAAAAATGAGTACAGCTGAAACAAGCAAAGCGTATGTGCAAGTGTATGAGAAAATAAGTGTCTGGAAGAAAGAACGAAAGAAAAAAATCCTGTAAGAAAAGCGCTCGTAAACAGCTGGTGGCCGCACGCAATGCGCTAACAGCAATCATGCCAATCGAAGAAGGGTGTGGTGTGGCGTGGCGCTTACAACGCGTGCCGGGCAGCGCGCGGCTGCTCACACATCTGACTAGTTGCCGTAAAACAACTTATAAAAACACAAATTCGCCTGTCATCTGTGTGTTATGTAACAGACTAACCAACAACAACAACACTAAACACTGCAAAAAAACGCCTGTAGTTGGCACTTTTAATTAAAGTGATGGCGCATGAATGATCAGCGCGCGGCGTATGAGGAGCAACGGAGAGTTGTAAGCGGGGCAAGTCGGCAGGCGTCGGTGGCGTAGGTGGGTCAATGTCAGTGTCATAAGTAAATATAGCACACGTACATATATACACGCACCTACATTTGAACATATTTACATACACACATTTACTGGCGCTCATTTATTAAGTGCAAAAAAGGCAAAGCCGTAAGCGGCGTCGCCAAATGATTTCATTCTTGGTTGCATTACGCGCAAGTTACTGGCTAGCCGCTATACTTCTCTACGCTACCTTATGCCGCCGCTGCTGGCGCTACTTACATACATATAGATTATTGTAAAAGTGACATAGTAGCGTATACATATAAGGCAAAATAAACAAATCGACGCATTGCAATGGCTAAATGAATTGCTGCGCCGACTGTGTGTGGGCGTGGGCGTGTATACATATGTACATACATATTGTAAATGGGTCGTATGAATTGCGCGTAAAATTATTTCAATGACAGCAAATACATATGTATATGTACATACACACAAATATAAAACGATTTTGCAAATATGTATTAAAAAGTGGACACATTCAGCTATTCTGTAAATTTCTCAGAAATTGATCTGACGTTTATTTCTAACAAACGAAGCCTGCTGCTCTATATAAAACTATACACACTTCTTTCTAAAACGTAAGTTTTCTTCGAATTTATGCCAACAATTGGATTTCTGAAACCAGTGTGCACTGAGGGAATCCTATAGACGATTGATCAATCCTTTTCAATCAGAGATTATATTCGCCCTGGCAGCAGAGTGTCATGTCTGTTGTAGACAAAGAATTTGCAACCAAATTCAGGGTCCGAATCGCGGCATTCGTGGATCGATTGATTACTCGTTTCAAATCGAATGGAACAAAATGTCAGCTGTTTTCTCTACACTACAATTTAAATGAGCGAAGCACACTCGCTATCGAATGCCGCGATCTCAAAATTAAATTTCGATTTGACGG